GAGAAAAACACAGACGTCAATGAGGTTCCCCCGTCAGTGAAAGAAAAGAGAGAAAGAGAGAGGAGAGAGATGAGGAAGACAAAGGTGATGGCTGGCCCTACCAATCGTGCAGACCACTTCTTCGTCCGGTAGTGAGCGGAATTCGAGTACTTTTGAAGGGGGTAAGGGTAATTTGTATCAGTAATTTAGTACTTCAGTAGTTATTATTTTTTATTGTTTTGTAGCAATATTATTATATATTTAATAATTATAAATTTCATTTGATTTTGTTAGATTCATACAAAGAAAGGAACAAGCTTAAATCAACGAGTCTCAATGACCTAGTCTATGTCAAGTATAATCGATTCTTAAAGAACAGGTTTGCTAAAAGAGATAAGAGAGACCCCCTCAAATCAAAAACATGGACAATGCTATAGAGTTGTTGGTTGATGATGATGAGGTCAAGAGGCATGAAAGATTGACACAGGACATGCTCATGGATGCTTCAGGGACATCAGCCGACCCTCCTAAGGCCACTAGACCTTCTGCACAGAAGACGTGGGTAGAGGAAGAGGAGGAAGAAAAGGAAGATTCAGAAGAGACAGAGGAGGAAGACCATTATGTCGATGAGGGTGACGACTGCGATGCATATGATGCAAATGCAGCTGACCCTACTTTTTCTGATGATGAATGATGATTTAACTTTGAACATTGATTGAAGATTATTTTGAGTCTTCAAGTATTTCTTTCATTTTTGTTTTCCTCTTCTTTGTTGTGTATTGTGGATAGTGGATTTGTAGTTTCACTAGTTTGGTAATTTGATTGGTAAATTTTAAGTTTCAATTGGATATGGACCGACTTATGGTTATGCTTATGGAGTGTGTGCTAATGTGTAGTATACTTTTGAATTTTGACGTGCCCTAAATCCCTAATTCTTATATTTTATACAATATATAATCATACTATTAGAAACTATAGAGTCCTTTTCTTTTCTACTGGGCCGCTTAGGTTCTGGGCACTTGCCTAGCGCTTTTTAAAACACTGACATGGTTGATAGTGAGAAGCCCTCCATGGGATACATATACGAGGCAATAGAGAGATGCAAAGAGATATAGCCCGTAATTTAGATGATGACGTGAGTTGCTACGAGCCAGTTTGGAAGATTATTGATGAGAAGTGGGATAGGCAGCTACAATGACCATTGCATGTAGCTGCTTATTTTTTGAACCCAGCTTTTTATCATGTTGATAATGTAATACACATAAATGACACAATTATGACTGGATTTAATAAGTGGCTACATGTGCCAGTCCCTAATCAAGATATCCAAGACATTATATGCACAGATGAGCTAGTATGTTGCAAGTGTGCATTGAAGTCTTTGGGGAGTGCAATGGAGGCAAGGCAAATGACCAAAATTGATCCAGGTAATAATTTTCTTAAGTTCCTCAAGTTCAAGTTTCATATTTGTTGTTTGTTTTTTATATTTCATATATATATAAATCATAGTTAATTTGCATCCAATGGTGGAGCAAACATGGGTGTAGTGCTCCTAATTTACAAACGTTGGTCATTCGGATATTGAGCCTAACCACTTCCTTGCCTAATTATGAGCAAAATTGGAGTGGATTTGAGATGGTAATTTAATTTACTTTATTAGTTTATAATTTACCAATTTGTATTAATCTTTTAGTAGTTACTAGTTAGTAATTACATATTACTATGTCAATTGTAAATTTGTAGTATTGTATTAATTAAGTTCATTTGATTTTATTAGATTCATACAAAAAATGAAACAGGCTTGAATCAAAGAGGCTCAATGATCTAGTTTATGTGAAGTATAATTGATAATTGAAGGAGAGGTTTGCAATGAGTGATAAAAGAAACCCCCAGATAAAAAAATATGGATAATGCTATGGAGTGGTTGGTTGATGATGATGAGGTGAGGGACATGAAGGATTGACATGGGATATAGTCATAGAGGCCTCTCAGGGACAGCAGCCAACCCTCCTAGCGCTACTAGATCTTCTTCTCAGACGACGAGAGTATAGCAAGCACAGGCAATTTCAGAAGAGACGGGTAGATTCAGAATCTCAATCCAAATTGTTTTGGAATCTCCACAAAATCAAGTATTGATGTTCATAGGTGCACAACTGTGATTCATTGAATGTTTAATCTCACATCAAATATTTATGGATTTGATTTCAATTATTTGGAAACCCAATTAGAGAACATTGTCTCCAATGGTTTATAGCTGCTCTAAATAATAATCAGATGAGTGCGGTGCTGAAGTATTGGTAACAAGAACCACCTTTCCAATGCAAATGTTTAGAGTTAAGGAATACTCAACATAGAACTGGAGCATTAATGAGAGTGTTAATGGTGCTAGAACTAGCTCAGATCATGTTTTTCATAGTGCTAGGGCTGTCTTGGATCACGAATCTAATAGTGCTAAGATTCGTTGCCTTGTTTTAAAATATTTACATTTAAATAGGACTAAAAGATAGAGAACACCATAGCACAGACAAAGCCCAATTTTGAACTATAATTATGAAATAAAAATGGCATTTCAAAAAATACATGAGATAATATTTGTATCATTTGTAGAAAATTTCCTTAGTGAACTACGAGTGACTATTAATTGACCTTATTTCTGATACTGTGTCTGAGGGGCAATAGTCAATAATACAATACATTGACTTCATATCTACATAATCCTTCTTCGGGTTTTAGAGACGTCTGATCATGATTGCTTGATGAGGTTCTAAGATGTTAAGGCACAACATGTCTTGACATAGGAATCTTGATTCTAAAGGTGAAACTCAACCCCAATGATTTACAAATCCCGACGGCCATATGGGTCAGAACTTGATTTTAAACTGATACTAATCTCAATTCCAAACTGTTCTGAATCTTGATTCCAAATAGCTCAAAAATAGGATCCCAAAGATGTTGGAATCGCGACTCTATATATGACGGACTCTTATTTTCATATGGGTGAATTCTAAATAGACTAGAAACTCGATTCCAAAGCGGTTGGAATCTCGATTCCATGTATGTAAGGATCTTGACTACATTTGGGATGAAATTTGATTGTTATAAAGTAGGAATCCCGTTTCTTGCGATTCCCCTAGTATGGATGTTGATTCCAAAAACGCAAATCTTATAGCTAGCTGCAATCCCGTGATTCCAATTCCTAAAACGATTCGGAATCTCAAGCGTTTCCAACAACTATGTGTGCGACTATGGAAGATCTAATCATAGACTGAGTTGAAGTGGATATGGGTCAAGGATCCGAGGGATAATAGTCTTAAGATTCCTCCTTGATCATGACGGCTGATCTAAGGAATGGATGGATCAGAGTTAATTTTCTCCACAACTCCCAGATTACCAAAAACTCATTTGTCAAAATTTGAGCCCCATTGGAAGCTCGTATACCCTAGACCATAAGGGATGAACCCCCTTCATTCCCACCATTTGTTCTTGCAGAGACCTCTCTATCATCACCTCTCCTCCAAGCCTCTCTCTCTCTCTCT